AGGGTGTTGCCCAACAGGATGACCTCCTGCTAAAGGCTAAAGGCAGAGTCATTGATAATGCTGACCTGTACAAATTTAAGGTAGAGTAAGACTTTCCTTCTGAAAGTTTGTGAGCCAGAAAATTAGCAATATCTAGAACAGATGACGCAAATGGATCAATTTTCCTTCCACTGCACCAGCTAACCCAACATTTCCAAGCAGACTCATACTGTTTTTCTGTGCCCTGTCTCCAGGAACTTGAGGTGAGTTTGGTAGCGTCACTCGAAAGTCCCTCTGCTTTCCATCGTTGCCTGAGATGGTCCAAGCGGCTAATCTTAGATTCAGCATGTTCAGAGGTTGAATTTGCTGAGATTGGTTCAGAGCGGTCTGTGGCAGTTGGATTGGTTGTGCTACACACATTGAGAGTAGCTGAGGAAACCAGGCTTGGGTTTGCCACAAGGGGGCAATTACTAGACACAAGTCTGTCTTGTCTCTTGAAATCTTGTCCAGGATTCTGGGTAGCAAACAAAATGGAGGGAAAATATAAGGAGATAAATTCCCCCATGAAATTGTAAACGCATCTACATCCCAAGCATATGGATCTTTTTTCCATGAAACATACTGATTCAATTTTCGAGTTTCACAAGATGCGAAAAGGTCAACGTCTGGGCAGAAGGTTTGCTTGACAATATGATCAAAGACTATGCACTTGATACTTATCTCTTTGTTCAACTCTTTACGAGAAAGATCGGCCGTGACATTGGTTTTGCCGGCAATGTGAGTTGCAGATAAGTGAATATTCTTTTTGCAAACACCACTTAAAAATTGTGGTCGAAATCTGGTTATAAGGAAATCATAGTTCCCCCCCCCCCCCCCCATTTTGGAGATGTATGATACAGCCGTGCTGTTATCTGATGTTATGAGAACATGCGCATTTTGCACCTGTGAACACAGACTGAGCAGTGCATTTTGCACAGCCAGGAGCTCCAACACATTAATATGAAGCTTTTTATGGATGTCTTTCCACTTACCCTGTGCATAAGAATTGTCTGTGTGACAGACTGCTCCCCATCCCAGTTTACTGGTATCTGTGGAGATAACAATATCGATGGAATGTAATTTTATATTACAATATACTCCATCAGAGGAAGCTGTCAACCACCACTGAATTTCTTCAAGAAATGGTGTGGTATCAATACATGTATGTGCACATCATAATTACCCAATTTAGACTGAAGTGCTTTAACTTTGGCAACTTCCATCTGTCGGTAATGTAATTTTCCTTGCGGAAAGGCCTCAAACGTTGAAACAATGAGGCCAATACATCTGGCCAGTTGGCGGATGCTTACTGAATTTTGGAAATTAACTGTCTACACTCCAACTTGATTCTGAGTTGATTATGAATCCCAAGTATGTCACTTTTGTTTCAGGGATCAAACAAGATTTTTTATAATTAATTTCAAATCCACGATTTTGGAGTAGGTTTATTACGAAATTAGTGTTTGTGGTGCTTTCTTCTTTTGAAGAAGACACGATGAGGATATCATCTAAATAAATGACCAAGCGAAAAACTCGACTTCTCGCTGATGCTACTATAGGTTTCATAACCTTAGTAAATATTCTAGGGGCTGATGATAAGCCAGATGGTAAGCAAGTAAAGCAGAAATTTTTTTCTGCCCAAGAGAAGCAAAGATAAGTTTGATCCTTTTCACACATTGGAATAGAAAAATAAGCATCTTTCAGGTCAATTGACGTGAGAAAGTCATTAACTTGAATTAGGTTTTTCACAAGCTTGATATATTCGATTTTGGGGTGCTGGTACGACACAAATTTGTTAAGATCTTTCAAATTGATAACTGGTCCCAATCCACCTGTCTTTTTCGCTATCAGAAAAATGTTCGACAGAAACTGGCATTTAGCCAGAGGAACTTCTCTGATTGCACCTTTGTGCAGCAGTTCACTAATCTCAGTATTGATCACAAGTGATTCTTATCACAGAAGGATCTCTTTTGAGGTTTTGAGGTTTGAATTGGACAGCTCAAGAAATCAATTTTACAACCTGATATGGTGTTTAGAATCCACCTATCAGAAGTGATTTGAGACCAATCATCCTTGTGTAATTTTAGTCTCCCGGCACTTGCCAATGGAGAGGATAGCAGGTCTGATTTTACATACCCTTTTTTTTCTGAAGTAGGCTTCGTTGCAGTAGATGGTTTGTTAGATCTCTGCTGCTAGGTGGATCGCCCACGGCTGTGTTGGGGAACATTCGAACCCCGAGAAGATGAATGCCAGAAGCGTCTGTCTCCAGTGGGTCCGCTGTACAGCGTGTCCCCCCAAAAAATGTCCCTCTCATAGACCACAGAATAATTACCATAATCAAGTTTTATATTCAATTAAGTTTACATATTTAGAAAGCCCACTTAATTTTGTAGTTCCAGTGGAAATTTCAACGGTCTTGCTTCATTGGTTTTGAATACACAGGCTTTTATGCAACAGCAGTGCTTTCCGGGCCATTCAAAGTTTGATAAAAAGAAATGCACACTACAGACATACCATACCTTATTCCATGCTTCACTTTTATCTCAACAACTGTGTTCTTGTTTTTATTAAGTCAAGTTCATTTACTTTTTTAAATGAAAACTAATCAAAGTTCAGTTCCAGTGGTCGTGTTTGCTTTCACAGGGTGTGTTCCACTTATGGTTTGTTCTTCAATGTCCAGCTTGTAAACCTTTATTGTCCTCCTGCACATCCTTTCACCTGCAAACTTGAAATGGGCTGAAAAGCACTGCTGTTACATAATAGACTGTGTATTCAAAGCCAATGAAGCGAGACCAATGAAATTTTCACAGAAGTTACAAAATTAAATGGGCTTTCTTAATCTGAACACTAAATTGAAAATAATACTTCATTTTGGAATTAATTTAGCAGTCTATCAGAGGGACATTTTTTGGGGGGGACATGCTGTAGTTTGCAGATAAGCCTTTGCCTGCTCTCTGCTGGTTATAAGGCCCATAATGGCGGGAACACAGACCGCGATACATGAGGTTGAGGACTAGTTTCAGTTCCTCTCGACGTCTCATACTTAGTTCATAAGAGGCGTTCCCTGCAAGGGTAATGCCATCTAAAGCAAGTTCCTTTAACTTGTCAATGTTCACAACTTGGCCTGACTTTGCTGCTTCACGCAATTCAGTCAACATTTTACAGTAAGGAAGCAAACCTTTGATAATTTGTTTTTGGATTTTCTGTAAGATCGCGTCCTTGGATCTAGCTGAGGCAGGGGATGGTTCCCCAAAGTTCACTGTCTATTCTGGGTGCCCACACGGCTACCACATTTGACGGTATAACATATTTTTCTGCAATTTTTGCATACGTCTCTTTCTTGATTGGCAAAGTTATTGCTTTTACAGCTCTTTCTGCTAGGTTGCTAAATATCTCTGGGCCTTTAGCCTCACTGTCATTGTAAATATCTTCACTTGGAAGAACGTCACAATCAGCTTGCGCAGTAATGGCTTGGTTATCCGCCAGAACACTGGTCGGATCAAACTCAGATTGAGCTGGGTCGTATGCCACAGCTTCCTGGCTTAGTAGCTCGTCCACAAATTCCTCGTCGTATTGAGCCGAGACCTCCAACTGGGGTGGACTACCAGCAGAGTTGATGGGGCCGGTGTGCTTCACACGTCCGGATAAGTCACGGGAATGAACTACTGGTGCCAGCATCTCTTGCATGGCATTAACGGAAGCCGATAACTTCTGGATACCGTCGGCATTGGCCTGTAACCGAGCATCAATGTCCCAGCAAGAACTAGGCTTACCTTGGCCTGGTTGGAGTGATTTAATGTCAGTATTCAGTATTCAGTCAGTATTCATTATTGCAATGAACAAGGAGCTGAACTGTTCAGCTCTGTCCGCTATGCCTATCACACTGTAGCGTTTTCAGATTATCAATTCTTAATTATCAATTCATCTTAATTTTTAATTAATTATCACACTTTAATTATCACACTTTAATTATCAATGTTCCTTTTGAACTTTTTAATGAGTAATTCTCCTGAATGCATTACTCATCGTTTTCCTTGTATACACATACACCACACAGTGCCTATGCAATGTGTAGTCCCAATACTTTATACAGAGCGAATGTCCTTCACTGCCCACACACAAGTCATTGGTCAGTTTCTTAGTACAGCCAAGTTACTTTCAAGATCATTGTTTTAAGGAACTATATTACTCATTCCTAGTCATTTTTCTGAGACTCAAGGAAACCACAATATGACTAAGTTTCCCCATTCTTAAGTATTTCTTATTCTCAAGACTTCCTGTTTCCACCAGTATATAAGTGCTGCTCCACTAGCGCAGTTCTTCATTCTATTCTATTCTGTTTCATTTCTGTTTCAATCCCATTTCTATTCTAGTCTATTTCAGTTCACCCAGTTCTCTTTGTCTCAATTCACTGTAACCAGTTCAATCAATCAATGTGTAAATAAAATAATTGTTGTGGAATAAACAGTCACGGTAAACACAGTCCTCAACCAAAGAATTGTGTATCGACTCATCTATTCCCCAACAAATTGGTGACCCAGACAACAGTGAACACAGCAAATTGGCGATCCAGTGATACCGACAATTGAACTTCATCAAAACTGAACTGCTACAACTTTGCTGAACTATGACTACTCCCAGTACCAGCACCACTGTTAATCCGCCCATCGCTGCAGTTAGTTTAAAATTGCCACCGTTTTGGCCAAATGACCCACTCATTTGGTTCATGCAAGTTGGGGCCCAATTTTTAACTCGTGGTGTTACTTCAGAGGAGACGCGTTACGCATATGTAATCTCGTCCCTTCAACCCTCCATCGCACAAGAAGTGCGGGACATTCTCATCAACCCGCCTTCCACCCAGCCCTACACAACACTGAAGGAGGAGCTAATCAAGCGAACATCCGAATCGGAGAGAAAATGGCTACAGAACTCCTGACAACTGAAGAGTTGGGGACCGGAAACCATCCCAACTTCTACGCAAAATGCAACAGCTGCTTGGTGAGTGCAAGTTGGAGAAATCCATCTTCAAACAACTGTTTCTCCAACGCCTGCCTGGCAACGTACAACTAGTGTTGGCCTCCACCGCCGATGATGTCAACATTGAGCAGTTGGCTAAACTGGCCGACAAAATTGTGGAAGTCACACCTCTTCCCAGCCATGTTGCCATGGTAACAACTGAAGAGAGTTCCCCTTCACAGGCTAGGCAATTTCAAAAGCTGACTGAACAAATCACCCTGCTCCAAGCACAAGTTTCTGCCTTGTCCAGTCAACCTCAGCATCGTAGCTGCAGCCAGTCCCGTGATCGCCATCGACACACCCGCAGTCCATCTCCCGATACTCTCTGCTGGTATCATCGCAAGTTTGGTGGTAATGCTCATAAGTGCACCAAACCCTGCTCTTTCACTACACCTGCCTCCTCGTCTTCGGGAAACGGCCCAGCCAGCAACTAGCGGCGACAAGCTCTGCTGGCCCGTCCTCATCTAGTCGCCTATTCTATGTAACAGACAGAGCAACAAAACAACAATTTCTCATCGACACAGGAGCAGAGGTAAGCGTCATACCATCAGCAATTGCCACTTACGGAGAACGATCTTTGACTCTTGACATTGGACTCCGGCGGCCATGCCGCTGGGTTTTCATTGTTGCTGATGTCCAACACGCAATCATAGGCGCTGATTTTCTGCGACACTTCAACTTCCTTGTTGATCTTTGCCATCGCAGATTAATTGATGCAACAACTACATTGAGTGTTACAGGAACATCCTCGAATGCACTACTGCTCAGTCCTGTCCTCGCGACGCCAACCTCATCACAGTTAGCGAACATTCTGAAAGATTATCCCGACATTACGAGACCTTGCTATCGTGACACACCAGTGAAACACAATGTCACACATCACATTGTCATGACAGGTCAACCTTCTGCCGCACGTCCACGCCGTCTTGCACCGGACCGTCTTAAAGTAGCGAAAGACGAGTTTCAACATATGATGGACTTAGGTATCATTCGTCCATCGGACAGTAACTGGTCATCTCCACTTCACATGGTCCCAAAGAAACAACCTGGCAACTGGCGACCATGTGGAGACTATTGCGGACGTAATCGCGTCACTGTGCCTGACCGATATCCTGTTCCGCACCTCCAAGATTTCGCCGCATCCCTACACGGTATGACAGTATTTTCGAAGATCGATCTTGTCCGTGCTTATCATCAAATTCCAATGGCACCTGACTCAATCTCGAAAACGGCCATCACTACTCCCTTCGGACTATTTGAATTTGTCCGCATGCCATTTGGGTTACGCAACGCTGCCCAAACATTTCAGCGATTCATTGATGAAGTCACTCGTGGACTTGATTTTTGCTACGCTTACATTGATGATCTGTTGGTCGCTAGCACAGATGCTGACCAGCACGCACAGCATCTCCGCCTACTGTTCGATCGTCTCAGTCAGTACGGAGTCATCATCAACCCTGCAAAATGTCGGTTTGGAGTGAACTCACTTGAGTTCCTCGGACACCAAGTCGACTGCCACGGGGTACGTCCACTCGCAGAAAAGGTCAGTGTAATCTTGAACTTTCCTCAACCTACTACACTGACAAAGCTGAGAGAGTTTTTTGGACTTGTTAATTTCTACCGCCACTTCATCCCACAGTGCTCTCAGGTCCTCCATCCTCTCACAGCTCTGCTGGCTAACACTGGAAAAAAGTCAGCACCAATCACATTCAATGACGCAGCTACAGCCTCATTTGAAGAAATCAAAGCTGCTCTCGCAAACGCTACCCTCCTCACACATCCCAAGCCAGATGCTCCGCTGAGCGTCATGACGGATGCTTCGGATGTTGCAGTAGGAGCTGTTCTTCAACAATGGGTAGATGATTCATGGCAGCCAATCTCATTCTTCTCCAAAAAGCTTCAACCAGCCAAAACGCGCTACAGCACCTTTGGACGAGAACTCTTAGCTGTGTATCTGGCCAAGCGCCATTTCCGTCACTCGAGAGTCGAGAGTTCCATGTGCTCACTGATCACAAGCCCCTCACGTACGCTCTGTCAGCATCAATGGACAGACATTCCCCACGTGAGATTCGCAAATGACATCAGATACATCAAAGGTGGTGACAACCCTGCTGCGGAAGCTCTTTCGTGTATAGAGCTCAACTCCCTCAGCCCAGAACAGTCCCACACACCCATCCATTTCAACAAGATGGCTGAATTACAACGACAGTGTGACGAACTCCCAACATTTTCGTCAATCCTCATCCTCGCTGTCTTTCAAGGACATGCCACTCCCATCATGTGACACGACCCTTACCTGCGACATGTCCACAGGTAATCCACGACCATTCGTCCCAAATGACTTGCGACGTCAGGTATTCAACGCATTTCATTCCTTGTCACACCCTGGTATTCGTGCTACTCAACGCCTCATCACAGATCGCTATGTCTGGCCAAGTATCAACCGCGATCTAAGAAATTGGACAAATACTTGCATACAGTGTCAGCGAGCTAAAATCCATCGTCACACCGCTGCACCACTTTCCCAGTTTAAAGGCCCAAGTGCACGATTTGATCATGTACACATAGACTTAGTTGGTCCTTTGTTACCTTCCAATGGATGCCGTTACCTGCATTGATCGCTTCACGCGATGGTCAGAAGCCATCCCACTGCCTGACATTACAGCAGAAACAGTAGCCCATGCTTTCATCACTAGATGGGTTGCTGCATTTGGTGTACCATCTACCATCACAACTGATCGTGGTACTCAGTTCGAATCAGCTCTTTTTGGCGCTCTCACAAATATGCTCGGTACCAAACGCATCTGCACCACAGCATACCACCCAATCGCGAATGGACTTGTCGAGAGATTCCATTGCCAACTAAAGACGTCGATAAAGGCGCAGTTGAATCCTAACAACTGGACAGAAACACTACCGCTTGTTCTTCTTGGGATCCGCACAGCAGTCAAATCCGATTTCATCACAGTGTTGCTGAACTCGTATATGGCACTACCCTTCGCTTACCTGGCGAATTTTTTGACAGTTCTAGTGACATTGCTGAGTTGGACCCGACAAACTATGTTCATCGCCTGAAACGCACCATGCATGAACTTCAGCCACCAACACCCCCCGCGCAACAACGGACAAAAACCAACGTTCCAGACGATTTACATTCATGTAGCCATGTTTTCGTTCGTCGAGATTCTGTGCGCAAACCCCTACAACCACCATATGATGGACCGTACAAAGTTCTCAGCCGTTCTGCTAAACACTTTGTCGTCGATTTGAACAATCGCACAGATACTATCAGCATCGACCGACTGAAAAGTGCTCATTTAGACACTTCTTCTCAGAACACCGCAGTTACGAAATCATCACATCAGTCCAACCCCTCAGTTAATGTTCATCCTGAAAACACTAATAACGCAACTCGCACAACAACCCGTTCTGGACGTAGAGTGCATTGGCCTAAACGCTATGTTACATTCGCTCGTTAATTGCCACACACTCACTGGAAGGGGGCTCCTGTAGCGTTTTCAGATTATCAATTCTTAATTATCAATTCATCTTAATTTTTAGTTAATTATCACACTTTAATTATCAATGTTCCTTTTGAACTTTTTAATGATTAATTCTCCTGAATGCATTACTCATCGTTTTCCTTGTATACACATACACCACACAGTGCCTATGCAATGTGTAGTCCCTATACTTTAATACAAAGCGAATGACCTTCACTGCCCACACACAAGTCATTGGTCAGTTTCTTAGTACAACCAAGTTACTTTCAAGATCATTGTTTTAAGGAACTATAATACTCATTCCTAGTCATTTTTCTGAGACTCAAGGAAACCACAATATGACCAAGTTTCCCCATTCTTAAGTATTTCTTATTCTCAAGACTTCCTGTTTCCACCAGTATATAAGTGCTGCTCCAGGAATGCATACCCTCTGAAGACTTGTAAATTAATTAATTAGCACAATTAGCACAATCTACCCCCCCCATTCACATGATTCACATTGGTGGACTTTGAGGCCCCAAAAAACGGATTTCTAGGGGGAAAAAATGGAGAAATCACATCCCTGCAAGATACACATGTGTACACTGTTATAAAATTTTGGCAAAAATTTTGAGGCAAAAAAAACTGAAGTTCCACTTAGTTTTTACTTTTATTGGCCAAACAAAATAGGTAGAAAGGGAACATTTGTTCCCCATTTCAGTGGGGTTTTAAGTGTGGAAAATGATTATGTTTCTGCCCAATAACTGAAAATAGTGTTCATGTACAGTTATCAGTTATCAATTAGCAAGATGGCAGTATAAAGAGGGGGGGGGGAGGGTGAGTGTGAAAAGTTGTTTTACTCACACTGGGAAACCTCTGTCAAACCAATTTTTGGGGGGATGATTCCCTTAAGTGTTTCTATTCATTTTGCTGCTGATAAAACCAGCCCAAAAATGCCTCTAAACCCGTTTTCCAGAGAGGGAGAAACACTTTCTGGACGTGGGCAAGTCCACACAATGTCGCTGCTACCTGGTTCATGTGGACCTCTTTTGTTCGGAAGTCCACACAGTGAATGTAATGCTTGCACACGTACAAGCACACAGACATGTATACTCGCAGAAAGAAAATGCTATTGCAATATCCCCCTTCGGCTTACAGCCAGGAGGATAAAAAAAATTTGTCAATTTCTGCTGTGTTAGTGTTCTAACTGAAGCAATCAAGACTAAGGACTGTCATTCTTCAGTTTATGTTCTGGAACATCGAGGAGATAACACTGCAAGAATCTCCAAACAGTGAAGAGGCTGGCCAACATCAAACGCAGAGGCTGGGAACCATCAAATTCACCTGCAAGCATCATTGCCCGGACTGCCCCCGACCCTTTCGTTCTCATCTTGGTCTGCACAGTCAACGCCAAGCCCATCAAAGGAAAGGTACCCAACATGAAGGAGGAAAATAAGGCAGAAAAATCCTCAATAACGAGGCTGCCATGATGATGGTGATGAAGACTCCCCCATTCACAAAAGGAAAATCAGTTGGAGAAAGCGGAGGTTGATTGGAGCAGAAAATTACCGGTATCATGTGTAAGGATACATATAGAAAGGGTTATCGGTATTTGGGTAGCAAAAGTATACTGTTCTTCAGAATTGACCCAACTGCACTAGATAATGATGGAACCTCAGCAGATGCTTTTGTGAACAGAACGGTTAAAGTTGCTTGTGCTTTTGTTAATTAATCTCTGCCCGGCAATAGTAGTAATGTTTGAAACTTGGAGAATTCATCTGCATACATGTACAATGTATCTGCAAGATGTTGAAATATAGTTACATAGTCCAAAAAAATTCCTCTGCTGCACACATCATTATTGAGTTTCCATGTTTAAAGACCACACTGGGATTGGTAACTGTATGCAAATGGTTGATATGTGCAGTGGGAATTCCAATTGAACCCAAAATGACGATAACATCTAAACGCTATGCTAGCTTGACTTGAAACCCCACAAATTTATCCCTTTCTTCTAATTTGCAGATCAATCACAACTTCCACCTGATGTTTCAAGACAATGACACCAAACTAATTGAACCGTGGACAGGAACACTCAAAAGCAAGATTGTAATCCTTGCAAGGATGATTAAAGGGAATCTCACTGCCAGTCAGCTCATCACAACGGTGAAGCCGGGCCCAATCAGTGAGTCCAAAATACGAGGTATACAAACTTTCAATAACTCTTTAGGTTCATTACAGCTTTAAAGAAAAATTCCCCATGCTCGACCAAAACCATACTTTTTTTCTCCTAAAGACCTTTTTAAATTTTATGTTTCATTATTAACAGAAAAAGATTAAGGGTTTCGAACAGAGGGTAAAAATAAATATTTCATTTGGGATTTATTTGTAAGAATTTGCAATTATATTAAAGTTAATGCTGCATTTGCATTTATTGTAGAGAACATTGCATTTTGTATGTCCACATATTATAATATAAAAATGGTCTGTATTTCTCATTTTGTATTGTTTATTTCAGGTGGTGACGATACATTGAAGGATCATCTACAGATTCAGGCAAAAGATGCGTCGTACATATCCTACGTGGCTCAGAACAAACTTGTATCTATCTGTGGCAAAATGATCGTGACGGTCTAATTGGTGAGGTTCTGCGAGCTAAATATTTCGCTACCTTGATTGACAAGGCAATTGACAATTGACTTCTAGTGGTATACATGTACCTCTGGCTACTAGAGCACTGCCTTGGGTGACGGATGAAACGTGTGGGGTCTCCTCTGAATTGCCGAACAATTTCACACATACAGCCTGGACAACATGTGAAACACCTACAGCATCTGGTGAACCAGCTACAGGAAGTCCTTCTGACCTCAGTAAAACACTGCAAGACACAAGGGCCATTGCCTGCAACCAAACACCTGAAGAAGCTGCCCGTAGTGTAAGTGGTGACCCATCTGGGTCTGTAATTGCAGAAAGGTTAGATACATGTGTTGATATTGCACAATTTGCCAAGAGTGTGGATGACCAGTATATCCATATTAACAATTCAACGGTGTCTCCACTTGCAGCAGGGACTGAAGGTACAGGTACCCATGTAGACATCCTTCAAGAAATCCCCACCAAGGCACCAGGAGGACCAGAGAACGCACATGTTAATATTCATTCAAAAAAATCAAATGATGGTCTGTGAAGTAATACATGTAATGCAAATGTACCCTGTGCTCTATCAGATGAATCTGACACTGATGTTGATGGAATGTCTCTGGATGAATTAAGTGTGTATGAACCTTCAAAATCGAGCGAAGGTTCATTATCATCTGATGACAGCAGTCAGTTTTCAGACAGTTCTGATGAGCTGCCAAAGAAGAGGTCACAGACAGAGATGTCTGAGCACAGTTCAAATTCCTTTAGCTTCCAAGGAAAACCAGCCAACACCACAAGCAAAAACATAAGCAAAAGGGGCAGGGCAGAAAGAAAACTGACTTGCCAGAAGAAAACGTCTGGGTGGTATCTTCATCAAACACAGCCAAGAAAGGGCAGAGGGTATGGGACAAAAAAATACTACTGTCTGTTCCTTCTTAAGTCATACAAAAAAGTGACAGAACACTGGAAGGACAAACACTTGGAAGAAAATGAGGTAGGCACTCGAAAAAATACCAAAGAAAGAAGAGACCTCATTGCAACAACATCCACAGCTGCAGAGCCAGCGCCAACCACTGCTGCTAGAGAGCCAGAGTCACCGTCTGCAGCTTGAGAGCCATCGACGCCACCCACAGCAGCTGGGGATCGAGAGCCATCGTCAGCCACTGCTGCTGGAGAGCCACTGATTGAAGACAAGATCGAAGACCAGGAGAAATTTGATGCAATGATGAACGTCTTTGTACTTAGTTCTGATTTTCAGTTTCCTTTCTGTAGAATTAGTCATCATAACCGGGGCTTTAATATGAAATGGCTTGTTGAATTTCCTGGACTTGTTTACAGCCCAATTCATGATGCAGCTTACTGCAAGGTTTGTGTATTTTTCCCTTGTAATACGTACGATCAAGGGCGGTTGTCTGCAAGCCGTTTTGGGAGTGGAAAGATGCAAAGGCTGATTTCAAAACACACTTCTTGGGAGTACAGACAGATCGAAGAAGGAAGGGCAAAAATCTATCTGTCTTATTCCATAATAAGTGTATCCTTGGTAAACTGATCTGAAACTACATACTAGGTACCTAACACGGATCGAAGTACTTCACATCACATGCCAATTCCGTTTGGCAGGGCACATCGTTCGAATGGAGGAAAGCCAAATACAAAAAAGCTCTCTTTTAAGCTAAGCAATGGCCGGCGCTCACAAGGAGGCCAGTATAAGAGAAACAAGGACGTTTTGAAATCCAACCGCAAAGCATGCGACATCCCTACTGACACCTGGGAGGGGCAAGCACTCAATCGCTCAGAGTGGCGATCAACCTGCTACACTGGTGTAAGGTGCTTTGAGTGCCATGGCATTAACAAGCTTCAACAGCACCGAACAGCCTGCTACGCTAGTGCACAAGACCAACCCTGCTAAGTGACGACTTCGTCTGCCCAGATTGCCAGCATCGATGCCACTCGCTCGTGGATAGGTTTGTTTAGCCATCGCAGGAGAGACGCCAACCAACGCCCTTAACTACAGAGAGAAAAGAGATCCGTCGGATACGACGGCTCAATCCATCATCATCAATACATCCCTGGTTTTCAGCCGAGAATCACAAACGAATTTCGTCTCTGTGGTGAGTGGCAAAGTACTCTCTGTGCAAGACTAGCACAACCAGAGGGTGTGGGGCACAGTGACAAGAAATAGAAAAGTGTTGACTTCCATTGTAGAAGTGGTTATAATGCTAGGACGCCAAGGTCTGGCTTTACACGGACACCACGATGACGGCCACTATCACTCAGAATGAATGAATGAAACTGTGGCAACTTCTTCAAGTTGCTTCAACTGAAAGCAATTTTTTAACCAGAATTTACCAATATTCAACAATACAGTCAAACCCGAGCTAGATACTGGTGTCTATGTGTTGGCATGTATGAAAGTTAATGCTGACATACTGCATTTACATTAATTGTAGAGAACACTGAATTTTGTATATTGATGTCAACATTTTATAATATAAAAACAGTCTGTATTTTTCATTTGGTATCATTTATTTCAGGTGGTGACGACACATTGAAGGATCATCTACAGAATCATGCAAAAAATGTGTCATACATATCCTACATGGTTTGGAAGGAACTTATATCTATCTGTGGCAAAATGATCGTGACAAGTCTGATTGGTGAGGTTCAGCGAGCTAAATATTTCGCTGTCATGATTGACAAGGCATTTCACGCAAGGAACAGCTCGCAATAGTTCTGCACTTTGTAGATGCTAATCGTAAGTATAATCAGAGGCTACTTTCGTTGATTTTTCATTTAGAATATTATTAACATGTTTAATGATTATTATTATTATTCATCTTTCCTAAAAGGTTTCCTGCTCCTCCAGAAATCTCATTCCAGACCCCAGCGAGACGCTTAGTGTCAGCACCGAGTCCTCTACCTTCAGGCTCCCTGCAACGTTCCAGGTCAGAAAGCCCTTGCGCCTCCTTATCGTCGCCCACGGTATCCCAATCTCCATCTGCTGCACAAAATGCAGGTGATTATGACATCATTCTCACATTTTTCATACCGAAAAGACTCCACAACATGTGTCCCAGGCAGAATCTGAAAGAGCTACCAGACGGTGTTGAGGAAGTGACAAAGCCAATGACTGACACGGACCATCTCCAGCACAAAGATATTTGCACTGGCATGCCTATTGTTGAACTCAATAAGGAGTGGCCTTTTCTCTTAACCTACAATGTACAAGTGTCTTGTCAACCATTTCCACATGCTCACCGAAATAAATCTGTAGTCTGCGATGGAGGAGTCGCTTCATGCTAGAAACAAGGGTTGTCACATTACGAGTACATTTTGTCAGGGCCACAGAAAAAGAAGTCTGGGGATCTGAAGCAGTGGATTCGCATCATAAAGGCCGAGGTGGAGGAGAAAAAATCAACCAACCCTCAATGCCAAAGTGTTTTCTTCCTGCTCCTGAACTACTTTGAAGATGGAGAAGATAGGCTGTTTCGCTTCTATGGAGTATGTAGTCACTTAATAGGGGCCATCCATATACTATGCACGCACATTTTAACAAGGATTTGGACCCCTCCCCCTCCAACTGTATGCATTTCACATACAAAATAATGAACAGCAAATGTATTTGAGTAGGCAAAATGGCATTGATTTTCATGACCCCCCCCCCTCTTCATACATATGCATACATACTTAATGGATGCCCCTTCTCAATGATTTGCCTTTGATCATAATGACTACTGGGCAAATTATCAATGATTCTGCTCCTGAGTAACAGACATGCTGGCACAATTTTGATGTTTGCTGGCCAGCCCTTATGGACCACCCCTTCTTAGTGAATGGTCATGGCCCCATCTAGTGAAAGCTACGATCCACCCCGCTGTGCTGGTCACTGAGCAGACCATGAAGATACCGAATGGTGCTGGCAATTCTGTTATTTGGAAGCAGAACTAGTATCTTAAAACCTCAAGAACTCAGTGGATTTTGTTGCTCAGTCTGGAATGTGATCCACAAAGGCTATTTTTTACTCCAGTCAGGTGAACAAACTTATAATTAGGGTACTGTTCTTTTACAATGTCCTGGTAGTAGTGAATGGGAAAACTGGGTTAGAGATAGTGTTCGTAGTGACAACACCTGTCCTGTTATTGCAGTGATAAGGGTGTCGACCATATGATGAAACTGACATGGGGAATTGCTCTGGCTGAGGGGTCATGCCCACCTCTCCCAAACTCAGCAGTTATTCGCATCTGTTATGTTCTAAACATCTAAATGTCATTATTTCAGGTTGATGGTAATAAGCAGAAGATTGACGGAGACAAACTGAAGCCTCATACTCCATTCATTGCAATCATTGGTGAGTTTTGTGACTAACGCCAACGGGCATGAGAGTTTTGAATTGCATGAATCCAGGTTTTGGATGGAAAGATTGAAAACCAGACGTTGTTGGACATGTTGGATTTGGTTTGAATCATTGAGAAATTTTAGCGATTGGGGGTCTGTGCTTTTCACATTGTTTCAGGTTCTTGTCCCCAGTTTCAGGTTTTTGGCTTCAAATGCACTCTGTCCATAGGTAAATTTCTGGATGCCCACAGACCATCCAGAGAGATTGATATCTGGCAGACATTTGGCCATGGACATCTTACATGACATCGAGTGAAGCTAGAGAGAAAGACTTCCGGATGGTGCATGTCCAGTGGCCATCAACATCATGTGAGATGTCCGCAGATCATCCACGGAATGTTTGGGGATATCAAGCTCTCAGGATAGTCGTTGAACATTTTGAAATTTGCCTCTGATTCCTGGACTAAAATGGCTGCTTTCTGTGTTCTTAGACTAGATTTCACCTTCCTCAACCAGGATGTCTTGGGTGAGCCTTTACCAGCAGCATTGCATCCAATGTAATCTGTCTGGCCCTCATCACAAGTCGCTTACATGTACTACTTTTTTTCCTCTTGTTTCAGGATCAAGGGAAGACATCTTCCAGGGCCGGAACCTTTTCTGCCTCGTAAAAGAGGGGTCCATTGTCAATGATCAGATTGCCACCTTCAATGAAGCTGTCATAAGCTTCTTTCCATGCCTTTACGCTCTTTCTTTGGAGTGCCCACCAGGCGGCGGTCACGATGGAGTTTATCCAAAGGTGAGATTTTTTACTAACTTTTCTCAGGTTTCAATGTTATTGCTACAAAACTTTTTCACGCTTGAAAGAGCATGACTGATGCACAACATGACCAGTGGTGACGTCGGTGATGACATGGCATCACGCTACACATTCCCCAAGTACCAAGTGACATCACAGTGTCATTACCCTGGTGGCATTGTGACGTGACGCTATAAGGGTGGCCACTGGCAGACGATGAGACGTGACGTCATATTTTGTGACGGCACGTCGGTCTCTGTCCAGGCGATGACGCAGTGATGTGACATTGTGTCACGAGGACTTGATGAAATCTTCAGGCCTGTCAGGAACACACACGGACATAATTTGTACCATATTGCAGTACCCTTTGTTCTTGTTAATTTTGTTAGTAGACGATCACTTTTGGTGACCATAATGATTTGTCAAAATTCTTCTCGCCAAGGTAATCAATCCCGGGACAGTATCTGAAAAAAATGACAATTCCTACATGTATACGCTGACCAGAGCATATAGTGTAGGGGGATACTGGAAAGCATCTCTCCTTATGGTATTCCTTACTTTCAGAATTCTCATTGTTCAATGTTTTTGTTTATTTTGTATTTTTGTAATTTTGTTTCTGTTGTAAAGGTGATTCATGAAAAAAAATGCCAACCTTAGCTGCCAATAGGAAACTTTGCAAGACCAAATATTGGTCGATAGTATATTTAGAAATGATTCTATTAAATAGAGTTATTGCGCCTGATCATGCATGTTTAAGCTAATTTATGCTTTGCAGATTTTGTCAAAAGAAGTTTACAGCTTGGCAACATTTTTTATACAAGATATTATTAAATTTTTCACAAATACTACATTCCTTCAGCATGTTAAATGTTATTGACCAGAATGTGTTCCGGATCAGTAATCTATTGGCAGAGATATAAGCCCTTTAATTTTTGGATGTTTCCTATTTAATCAGCCAACATTTTTTTTAATGTTCTGGGCCTTGTGAGTAATGCTGGTACCAGTGTTATACCTTGCAATGCTATGATATTCAATTATGGAGGATACTGTGTGTGAGTGTGTAGGAGTAAGCGTAAGAATGTCTTGAAAAGAGTCGAACTTTCCAAGTTGAGGTTTCTGAGTTGCATTTAAAATTTCAAAGGCGAATCTTTTTCAGAGATGACCCGTGATAGACATGATTCCAGAGTAACTGCCAGTTGGCACAAACTGCATTACCAGAGTTACTATAGTAGGTTTTATGCCTCCAGAACTGAAAGGACTTAATTTTAGGTTACAGCCAAGATACTATTTGCCAAAGAACATGAGTTAAGTTGTCAACTGGGAAATCCAGATTTTCAGCATTGGCTTTTTTTTATTCGGTCAAATTTATTCAAATCTATCCACAAATTGTGTATGTTTTCAGCCCAATTTGAATAATTTGACAATACACATTTAAAAAAAAAATTTGCTTTCTATATTTCAGGATTTGTACGGTAACGAAGGTGTCTATGAAGAGCAGCATGTACCATCCAAGTTACAAAAAGCAGCACAGAAGCACAGTATGCCCTTCTCCCCATCATCTAACAAAGCCAGCAATGTGAAAATGGTTGTGCAGGTATGTAGGCATACTATTCTTTTCACCTTGCTTTTGATGTCACTCCTGACTATGTTACATACATGCCAAATGATGGAAACCATACATGCCATAAAATGCAATACTGAGGCATTAAAACAAAGCATAAACAAGTTCAATTTTAAATAGGTTCTTAATGTATCCCTACTTATTTTACTCTCTTTCTGCAGTGTGAAGAATGCCTCAAGTGGCGAGTATGCTATGCTGCTCGTGTTCTTAAGCAGGACCAGAAGCAACAACTAGAGCTTGAACTGGACACACTGTCATACTCATGTGGTGCTTACTTCCAAGACATAGATACAGGTGGTGATGATGATTCTGTGTTCAATCATATATATGTGAACGACAAGCTGACCTGTGACATGCCAATTGAGGCAGCTTATTTTGTGACATTCAGCGACCCATTGTGTTTTTATTGCGGGTCTGAACATAACCTGGAAGCAAACGATGGTCAAGATCCACTATGTGACATCTGCAAAGCCAGTGGTAAACAACCTCACAGTAAGAATACAAGGGCTTTTGTCCCTCGTTAGACTGATTTCATATATGACATTGGATTTGGTGAAAGGTCATACCAGCAATAGCTGCCAGAAAATATCAGACTGTGTATTTCCCTGGTATTTGTAAAGAATGTAGAAACTAGTCAATTTTTGAGACATGACATGTCATTTTCATATCTTTTTCCCCAGAGGTATCATTTTGACGCAAGACTTGAAAGGTTGTACACTTTTCTATTTCCAAGCAACCAAAGGCAGATATGACCTTTTCTTGAAAACCCTATCAATAGATACATATGATCAACATCCAAATTTGATAGACATTTGACAGTACAGAAAGTATGCACACTTTGAACCAATAGTAATTTTTTAGGTACATTTTTATTGATCATGACTTAAGATGTATCTGCTGAAAGTACTAGAGTCATACATTGTAAAGTTTGCAAACAGCAGTAGGAAATTTTTAAGGTCTTTCTGCCAGGACTGGTTAAAATTAAATGTTTTATTTGGAGTTTAGCACAATATTTTGAACGTCCAAAATATATACAGACTTCAATTTAAAAAGATGGAAAACATGAGGCAACTTTACTGGCTTGCTGTAGAACAAAAGTGGTATTGAGAAACTTACTGACTTTAATAGTTTTGGCTAGTTGGATGTGTATCCTGCACATATATATGGCATATGTTTTTAACACCTAATATCTAGCAAATTTAATATACATATTTTGGGTGTGACAAGTTTCAATCAGCTAAAAATTTGACTAAAAATTATAACTACAATGCTTCATGTAAGAACAGAACTGGTTGGGATAAAATGTTGCTTGCAATTTTAATAATACAAACTATTTAAAATAAGTTAATTAAAGAAAAACATGGAAAGAAACAATACAAGTGTATCTCAACCTTTACCTTGGTAAAGGAACGGGTTATTAGGAATCGTGATAATGTAGAGTGGTTGAGATGACCAACAAAGACGGTAAAATACTAGGATTGATGCTAAATATGAACAATGCTTGCCAATTTGATGATACAAAAGTTAAACATATTAATTGGACACAAACCATTTGAAAACTAATAGACCTTTGAATATCTGTGCAGAAACAGGTTATTAGGAATACTGATAATGTAGAGTGGTTTAATCATTTAGATGAGCAATGTAAGAAGGGTGATGAAGATAGAATCAAATACAGATTTTGCCATGACCTATTGTAAGAACTTGGACTGTTCTCCTGTAAGATCATCTGTAAGATAAGACAAAATAAATGCTAATATTAAAGGATATAAGATATGAAAATTGTTTCATTTGCTACTTTTATTGTTTTGTCTTTTATCACTAAACAATATTCACTTCCCATAAATGCGACATCACAAGAGGCTAAAGTGACGTCATATGGTGCAATTGTGCAGAAGAGATGTTCGGTTCTGCATAGTTACATCATTTTGGTCTCATTTTCTGTTGCATCTTGCCCATAAGAAGCCAATATGTCATTTCCTGAGTCCAAGTGGCGGCCATTTTGAAAAAAGCTGGTAACCATCTTGAAAAATAGCCCAGCCGCGTTGTCTTGAAAAATGTGTCGGGCGGCCATTTTGAAAAAAAAAAAAAAGGGGCCTCCTCCTTCCTTTTTGTCAAAGAGGCAGGACGCTAAACATGTTTTTTTTTTATTTTGCCTTATTGCCCAACTACAATACCAGAAGAAAGTGCTCAATGCTAAAGGAAGCCCATATCTATTTTACAGATCGAGCCAAAGTGTTGACTTTACAGCAGAAAAAAACTTGAGTCAAACTTGATCACAACTGAAAATGTCCAGAATACATGTAGAATGCTCCAATACCACCAACAAGCAAAGATTACTTCCAATATGTAAGAATACAATGAGGCACAAAATAGCACAGCAAAGAAATCAAATAAAATCAAAACAACAGCAACAACTACTGCCATCACTTCTGGAACACCCAGATACACCGCTTGGCAAAATTGTGAAACATAAATGTAGAAATGAAGACGGAACTGTTGAGTGATTTTGTGATCAAGTCTCAGCCACTCATTCCCAGAAGCGAAATGTTCTGATGACTGAATGCAACATCCCATATGATTTTTTAAAAGATACTTGGAATTTTCCAGTTTTAACAGACCTGAATAGGGAGATCTTATCATTAAACTTTGAAATTAAAAGTATATGTTATACAAAGTGTTTACAATCTCAGAATGTGTAATTGGCAGGATGTCTCCGACTTCAAGGGTCGTGGTAATTTCCCAGGTACCATATTTTTTTTGTAATTGGGGCACAAATATTCAATAAACCAAATATTCCAATAGATTTTTGCCTCTAGTTTGAATAGTTGAAGAAAAAAAATGTACATACAAGTACACTGATGACTGTGCTGTTATTTTTTTTCATAAAGGCATATCACATGGTTAAAACAGTTGTCACTAATTACTGCAAAACGCTCCATATCAATGGCCAGACACACCTTTTAAGTTGCGTGCTCTGCATGCAACTTTTGACCTGAGTGGCACACAGTTGCAGCTGGCAGTTTGGCATATCCGAATGTTCGGATATGTTAATTGATAACCAAATGATTGGAAAAGCCCTATTGGAAATTGGTGTGTGAATATAGGTTCTTGTACACTCATCATGGAAGCTCCTGTAATCTTCATTTATTGGTGTTTTAATATTTACTCCCAATCCCTTTCGAGTGAAATAAGTGTGCTTGCTGCAGAGACACTCATCATGAAACACTCTTTGCTTTATTTGAAATTCCTTCATCTTTGGCGAAGAATGGTCTTCATGGTCAATGAACAATTTCTTAGATTTTCCAGCAAAACTTTAAAAAGGTCCAATTTGTATTGCTATTTTATTTCCCTGATGCAAATTTCATCATTTCACATAAAGACATATTTTGTTTTGTACTTTACAGGAGTGCCTCACATATCCCAATTGAGGCCCCAGCTGCTTACCAAGATGAGTACAATAACAGCAAGATGACATACTCTGTCATCCTGCAGGCAGTATACAAATATAATATGGTTTGAGGGTGGGCAGTCAATATTCGCTCCCCGAGGTATTGGAAGTTGACGAACTAGTTTCTGAGGCGAAGCCGAGGGAACTAGACTTCCAATGCAGAGGGGAGCTCATTTTGACTGTCCACCCGAAATAAACCATGGTGTATTTGTTTTACTATACCTCATACATGTACATGTACATATTCAGTTGCTGAATTTTCCCGCAGTATGGACCTCGCGGGCAAACATTTTTCGGAGGAACTTGTCCAGCTCACCAGAGGAATAATACTGCTCAACCTCCGAAAAGTTCAGTTCATTTGCAATACAGTAATTACGGTTGTAAATGCTATTGTTTGTGGACAACTTTTTTTTTAGTACCGGGGGCATCTTTATTGTCCACAATACTCCCCATTTCGGCATCATTGGGCTCGGGAAAACACTAATTATCATTTACGTGTGCACCATCTTTTCATGTGTAGCTTACCCATGCGACAGTCTACTACGCATGCGTATTTAGCTTGTGCGTGAATTATACTCGTGCGCACACTTGGTAAACAGCAAAAACAGCATCTGGCACGTGATGGTGAATTGACCAGTGAGAATTCGGCTTTCGGTCAATAATATGTTTGAGGTATAGTAATATGCGACAAGTCCAGAAAGTTTATTAATTGCTTTGCTGGATTCCCAGGCTCGGCACATGATGTAAGAGTCTTGCACAGCTCACAGTTGCTCATACAAACAGAAGGAGACAAGCATAGGTTCTTTCCCAGTGATGCATATCACCTGGTAGCTGACACGGCTTAACCTCTTCACTCCTGGCCACTGACCCTCTTCAAGGGTACTGGCTCTTTAACACCACAGTAGATAAGGTACAACACTAAGCTGTCTCAGACAAGAGTTGTCATTGAGTGTGCCTTTGGGTTGCTAAAGGGCAGGTTTCGTAGGTTGAAGATGGTAGTTTGAAAAGTGGAAAACATCCCTGACATCATGATGAGTTGTTAGAGATTGAAGATATGGATATGGGAATGAATGGAACCAGTGGTAGAGTGTGTAGTTTGGAGAGCAGCCAGGGGAAGGTGAAGAAAAATTACCTAGTCTCTGTTGTGTAGACTTGACTCTACTAGTACTACTGAATACGTACCAAGGGCGGATCCAGGGGGGGGCCAAAGGGGGCCATGGCCCCCCCCCAAAACGAGACCAATTTTTTTTTTTTTTTATGTGACATCGCAATAAAGGCAGGCAATGAGTACACCACCATCTTTTCCTCAAAAAAAATTGGTTAAAGTGGTCAGAAATTGCCTCAGATCGCACCACAGAGCATCTAGAATCCAAATTTTTTTTCGGGGCCCTTAAGCGGGCCCCGAACCCCACGCCGTAATTTTGTTGACCCACTTTTTGGGGGGTCCAAATTTTTTTGGCCCCCCCTAAAATTGTGTTCTGGATCCGCCCTTGATACGTACATACTACTTACAGTTTGATGGGTAATTTATTTACATGTAGGTATAACCTTTGTGACCCCACATCCTATATTTGTTCTCTTCCAACTGTCCTTTCTTCCTCTATTGATTCCACAGTTCTTTGTCGAGAGGTGGAGTTTGCCAATCCATTCCTGTATAAAGAGCGCACCAAGGAGAGGGGCAAAGCATTAGGAGGAGGTGGCTGTGAATCTGCGAAAGTACGGCTATGAGGTCAAAGACAAATACCGGGCAGTGAAGGAGGCCATCCAAAAGAAAAATTCACGGGGAAATAAGGGAAAAAATTTCCAGGAAAGGAAACTACATTAAAGGATTGATATTTTTCTCATTCCAGGATCAAGGCAGAGGAAGATGGGCTATCAAGGAAGAGGAGAAACACGGGAGGCGATGCAACCAGATTTCTGATGAAAAAACTGGGAATCGACCGTGAGATGAAAGAGCACGAATTTAAGCTGAGGATGGACGAGTTAGAAAGGAAGCGTCAAGAAGACAACCAGAGGCGGGAAAAAGAAGATAGAGAGGAAGAACGAAGGAGTCAAGAAGAAGAAAGAAGACAGGTGAGAGAAGAGAGAGAGGAAGAAAGGAGGCGGCGTTATGAAGAAAAAAGACAGGAGAAGGAAGAAAGAGATAAGGAGTGGAGAAGAAGAGATGAAGCAGAGAGAGAGAGAGAGACGATTTGAATTGCTACAGCAGCAAATATTGCAACAGAATCAGATGATGATGATGATGATGATGATGATGAACCCCAAACAAGATTAATCAACCCAAAGCATTCACTGTTATACAATGTACTTGTTAGATATTTTAGAGTAGATAGTTTTTTAGAAATCAGTAGGTTTATGCAGACCCCATGAGGACTTATATGAGCCATGTATGATTCATTAACTTGTTCATTATTCAGAACATTTTTAGCAATTCCTGATGTGCTGAATAATGAAATAATCCAACATGGTTTATGTTAATCTTGATGGAGTCTACATGATATTGAGTTTTTGTACTTTTAAGCATATCTTCATATTTTTTTAATTGTTAGTTTGATGTTTCATAGGTGTTTTTTTTGTAACAACACTGCAAAGTATTTTCTTGCCTCAGTATATTTATTTGTCATACCATACATGTTTCTGTATTGTAGAGCACTGTAGACTTGGCATTTTAGGAATCTGAAAAAGAGCCAAACTATTGTACATGTACAAAGTCATAATCCAGCACGTTCTTGAAAAGCTAGTGGTATAAATGCATTATTCACTTTTCTGGTTATATTTAATGTTAGCTGGGTGAAGGGGGCACACGAAATTCATGGTTTGAAGCACAAACATGTGTCATTTTCAAATACAAACCGTGTAGTCGGAAGCATCAATTGTTTAGTGATGCGTGACGAGTAAAGGTGGCACGTTTTTCTGCTCTCTCTCAAAAATTAATCTCCTCAGCGCCTATATGATATAAATATTGCCAGTACAATTATAAGCTAACGGGAAACTTCTTCTGACCATGGCGGACAACCAACCTATCAAGAAAACATCCAGACGTCGCCGAAAACCGAGCATGAAAAATGAATCGCCTAGCCCGAGCGACAGTGAGCAAGATGGCGGCAGTGGTCATTGTCCATGCAGTGGCAAGCTGACTACCATCGAAGACAAGCTGGACAAGATCCTGGAGTCTCTTCACACTGTAGAGTCGCGACTCACCTCTTTAGAAGTTCGCCTCAGTGATGTCAACCAACAGGTGTCCACGAATACCAAAGACATCGCTGACTTGAAAACATCTGGGACTTTTGTGCAAGACAACAACGACACCAGCAACAAACAGATCGATAAG